AAGTGATGAAATGATCAAGGTAATGTCAAATGTTTAGACCTTTGCATTATCAATTAGACTTTCTGAAATAGTTGTTGCATGCTTTGGATTTTGCATGTAATTTAAGTGGTGTTTGTTTTTATTTATATATGAGATACATCTAGTCAATTTTAGTTGTTTTTGTTGTGTTTTTACATGCAACTTTAGTATTAACAGTTAAGGGAGTGTTTTTATGCAGTATGTGAATGACAATTTAAATTTTTTTTTTCTGTTTACGTTTTTATCCTTTAGACAATCATGAAGTAAGAAAAGAAAGAGTTTTTAGAATATTGTATTGTATTTGAATTGGGATGATTCTATACGAGCGTACATCAATATTATATATATATATATATGCATATATGTGTATATATATAGAGAGAGAGAGAGGGAGAGAGAGGAATCTGTCTAGATCCTAAATGATGCCATAAATCATGGACAGGAGCGTTGCTTATGACTGTTGCTTGATTTCTCCTTAAACTGAGCTTTATGTGGATAGCTGCAGATTCCTTTTTCTTGCTGATATCTTCTGTGTCCTTCCTTAGTTCATAGGTACACTTTGGTGTTTGTTTTGATTCATTCTTCATAAATCAATCTGGTTTGTTGTGATACTTTTTTTCCTCGGCCTAAAACAAAACTGGAATTTAATGTCTGAATGGCAACATTAATATATCAATGCCCCTAATTTGATTAGAAATGTAATTTAATTTATCAAAATTAATGTCTGATACTCGGCTCATTGCCATTCCTAGTGCAGGAATTCTTAGAATGCCAACCATGCAATGCAACTGTGCCTGCAGCTGCAGCTGAATTTTATAGGAAACTAGAGGAAAACGAAGGGATCAGTCTTGATTTCAAAGACTTCACAGACTTGCACAAGAAGCAGGGGTACAGAGCAGTTGGAAGGTACCAAATCCCATTGTCTTTAGTACCTACTGCTGAAAAAATCACTGAGGTTTATGGTGATGTTTGTGCAACAAGCACAATTAGCCGAAACTTTGCTGAAAATATCTATACTCTGTTCTGTGCAACGATCAAAGAAATGGATGAACTACTGCTAGAGGAAGTCACAGAGGAAACCATGTTGAAGTGGAGAACTGCAATAAAGGATGCTTTATGTATCAAGTTTAAAGTGGAATTTGCCATGGAGCATCTGAAGAAAACTATAGTTGGTCGATACTTTGGTATGAAACCATACAAAGAAGCTGAGAAAATAGATGATGAAATCTCAAAAGCAGAGGCTAGATTGAATGGGTTAAAGGAGTGCAAGAAGTTCAGAGACATTGCAAAAGATTTTAATGGTAAGCCACTTAGTGAAGGTCTATGGGGTTATTCTGTCTTTGAAAAGGTGTAATTTGCTTTCTATTTCCACTTTCATCACTCTTCTTGCACAAGTGACGCTGTTGTATCTGTTTCTTCTTTTGTATTTCCATTTGTATCTGGGAGTTTTTTTTGTATTTCTTGCATGATCGTCTATGTAGAGCAGCACCTCGTTCTTGTATTTTGGAGTTTCACTTTGCATACCTTGGGTGATTGTCTTAGATAGACCAATAGTTCTTTACTCCATTAATGAAACTAAACGACAATGAACAATTTACTAAAAATGGTGAATAGCGGAAGAAGTCTGGTGCTGAAGTACTCGTCGAATGTGGAGCTCAGTTTTTTCTCTTAATTTCATTCGTAACAGTTGCTGCATGGTAGTTTATGAACGAAAGGAAGTTAAATAAATACCACTAAACATGATTTACATAGGACTGGAAAAATAACTTTAGATAACCATACCAACAGTTACAAATCCAAAAATCAATTCTGCTTCAGCACCCCTCCTTTCTTCTCGCATTTGTAACTCCAAGCATGTCTCTGAAATCTTCAATCTTCTGCCCGGGAAAAGCTCTTGTTTAGCATGTCTGCAGCATGATCTTCTGAATCACAATGCTGCAAAACAACTTCTCTATCCCTAACATAATTTCTAATAACATGGTATTTGATCTTGATGTGTTTAGTCCTACCATATTGTATTGGATTTTGATTAATAGCAATTACTGGCATGTTATCCACTTAAGCACACAAGGTTCAATCTATTCAAAACCAAGTTCTTCTAGCACCATTCTGAGCCGAACTGCATGATTTGCTGCAATTCCAGCTACTAAATATTCAGCCTCAGCAGTGAACTAAGCTATAACGTCATGCTTCTTAGAATTATAAGGGAAACTCCTTGAACCAAAGAAAAACACATAACCTATTTTGCTTATCATATCCTCCATAGAACCTTCATTCCTTCCTAGAACCTGTCCAATTACTATCTCAATACCCCTGTAACTTTCCTCTTTGATTATCGTCACACAAGGAGCCAATTTTATAGGTTCCTTTGATGCACCTAAGAACTCTCCTAGTTGCAAATAAACTAAATAGTCTTTATTGCTAACATTTCAATTTTTTAATTTATTCATAATTAAAAATCAAAGTAATAATTAGCAATTCTATAACATTTAAATAAAAATTTTAATTTAAATATTTTAACACCAAACCATTTCTATAAAAAAAATAAAAATAAAAGGAAAGAACAATATCATTAAATTAAATTTCGCTTAATGTTTAAACATGTAAAATTTTGAATCTTATCAAATCATTATCATTATTATTTATGATTTTATTAAATAAACAATTTAAAATCTTAAAAATAAAAACTTAATTTAATTTATTAATCTAATTTATAATTTTAGCTTAAAGG